TCCCTTAGGATGTTCATTTTGCCCTTTGCAAAAGCTGTTCCACCAAACTGTTTCCCAAATGAAGTGAAGGACAAATTTAGGTTGGCTTCTGCTGTTGCATGCATGCCGAGTTCAGAATGTGACATTGGGGGGTATATTCTGAACTCATTTGCACTCATGTAAATCCAGAGTCACACTGTGGATTTCAGCTTAAATTGCTCCAGGTTTCCTGCGGTGTCATTGTGACCAGAGCTCAGTTTTTTTATGCTGTTATGATGAGATGAATCTTTATGCTTCATGCAGAATCAGTGTTAACTTTTTTAACTTCCCTGTGTTGTCCCTTTCAGTCATTGGAAGCGGCCATCGGACAATTCGAAGTTCCGGTGCTGAAATAAGGACATCTAGTTCTCCCGCGGACAACATGGACAGTCTGCCCACATTTGGCTCGAGTGGCGAGAAGACTTTGCTATCTGTCACAAACAACACAGGGCCCGCAGCTACAACAGAAAGCGTCATTTCTGACACTGAAAAAATCAGCTCTGTGCATTTGATGGAGCACTTCTCAGTAGACCAGAACAGAAGTAGTAATATTTCTTCAAGTGATGCAGATGCCACTGAGCTTGGAGTTGTGCCTGTGGTTACACATTCTTCCAAGACACCAACGGACTCATCTGCTCAAAGTGAACATGCAGGTAGGTTTTATCCTATGTAAGTGCCGGAGGCTCAGTAAATCCCACCCAAGCCTCTGAAACAAATGCAAGCAACATTTTCTAAGGGACTCATGCTCAGTTGTTGGTACCTGGGCATATCTGTGTTACTGCTTATAGTAGGGCAGCTGCCACGTCTGCCCACACCAGCCATGTACATTGAAGCCTCCAGTTTGTCCACTGGACATGTTCCTGGGAGCTTTGCTGGAAGTTAAACTTCAATTTATTTCGTGCTCCCTGTGCCATGTTCAGGACTTACCCTTGTCTGCAGGGACAAGGACAAGAATAAGGCAGCAGCAATTCCACAGCTACGTGTGCCTGACATCCAGCCCTTCTGTGTCCCACTTCTTGTCTTGACTGCTTGTAATTAATGCTGCGCACAGGGGGAGAGAGGAGGAGGAGGCAGGCCGATTCCTAGAAGTCTGCTTGAGAAATAGGAAGCATAGGCTGCTTGCAGATGTTAAAAAAACCCCAAAAGGTGCTTTACTTTAAACTCAGCGTGCTCCCATGCCAAGCCCAGTACATGCCTGGAAAAGGTAACAAGTTAGCTGGACCCAGCTTGCCCAGCGTCTGTAAAGAGCAGGTGCTTTAGCAGGGCTTTCTGGCACTTTTATCTAATAACTGATTAAATCAGCTGTTAAATAAAAGCATCAAAAAAGCCCCACTGAAGCTCCTGCTCTATATGGGTGCTACAGAGCCGGGTCGAAGTAACGCACTGCTTCTTTCGGTAAAGCGTGGGGTTTTTTTTTTAATGTCTGGAAGCCGCCGTAACGTGCAGCAAACATTAGGTAACGTATGGGAGGAGTGGTTTGTGGGCAAGCTGCGGACTACCCTCGGGTTCAGCTGTAATTGGCAGCAAGGGAATACACGAGTTTTCTGAGACAAGGATCTGAAATCCGTGGGCTGATTTGGATCCTTTTGTTTGTGGGCTCTTAAAAGAGATACTTGATCTTCTTGACTAACCAGTAACTCAGTGGGAAGGAATCTTGTTGTTTAATTTACATTTACTGTCTATTACTAAATTCATCCTTACCATCCAACCTTGTGGCACTGCACACTGCAGTAATTAATGTCTTTGGCTTTCAAGGCCTGATCCTTATTTTTACTTAGGCCCTTTCTACCAGTCGGGCAATGTAATGGAAACTTTACACTAGTGAGACTTAAAGCTCATGAAAGTTTCATGTCGTGGTTTCCTTCCAAAGCCCCTATCCTGAAAACACCTGACTGCGTGCCTACCTTAACTGAAGTTCACAGGCTTGTTACCTTTTGTGAGATGTTGCCTATGGTGAAAAATTGAGCAGTTTGCAAAATCAAGAGCACACTCCCTCCTCTGCTGTATGTGCATGCTGATTGCAGACTTGGCTTCTAAACTTTGCTTCATTCCCTTAAATCAGGGGCTGGCAAACTGACCAGGATCCAGATCTGGCCCATAGAGCTGTGAGGCTTTGGCAGCTTGTGGCAGCAGGGGCCTGTCTTTTGGCTGAAAAGCTAGGAGCTTCACCCATGCTGTGCCATGGCCAGCTGCCAGCAGCGGTGGCGGCAGCCCATCTTGGACTTGAGCTGGGTCATTCTGGCCCACTGCTGCCTTAGATAACTAACATTGCACCGGTATACAGCATTAGGATTTGTCACGAGTTTTATGGTGAAACATTTTGGAAGAGAGAGAGACACGTTCCAGAACAGTGAATTGTCTTAAGGTTTCAGGGCTTTTCCCTCAATTGTGGGACACTCAAATTCAGATCCCTCTTGGCCCACTTTGTAACTGGGTCTTTAACCTGGGCATCCTACCTCCCTGGTGAGAGTCCTAGACATGGAGTGATTGGCTATTTTGGAGTGTCTCTGGATCCCTTTCATGGCTTTTCATAGAAAAGGTTAAGGGACTCATTTTCAACCCCCATGGGAGCTGGGAACAGCTTTCCAGAACTCATTATTTTTCAATAATGAAAATACAAATATAGCAATATAGAAACATTGCTTTCCAGCCAGTCAAGCAACGTGGGAATCGTATCCACTTGTATGAGTCAAAACTGGCAGGTCTTTAAGGCTGCCATTGGAGGGGCAATTGGTGTGACAGCAGTCAAGATCTTTTGACTTTTCCTAATGGATTGTTAATTTCCTTACTTTACATTTCAGTCATTGGAAGTCACCACCAGACCCTGAGCAACTGGCATGCTGAAAAAAGGACTTCTAGCTCTCATACTGAAAGCACGTATACTGCAGTTGCATTCGGTACAGGTGAAGACAGGACATTACAGTTGTTGACAAATCGCAGTGTTTCAGTTGATATGCTACCAGGTTCTGGTTTTCGCACAGAAATCCCAGTGTCTTCAGATCTTACCCACCGTTCCTCTTCGGTATCACAGGCTGGAGCGTCAGATATCCCTGATTTCCCCGAATCCTCAACAGGGTCATTGCTTATGCAACCCTCTTCAAAAACTCATTTTCCAGGTGAGCTTTGTAGTCAATAAAGTTGGCACTTCATAGTAAATGTCACTTGAAATGTAGTGCTAATACTTGGCATCTAGCTATTTGCTGTTGAAAAACTGGAGGGTGTACAGAGCCAAGCCACAAGAATTATCTGAGGGCTGTAAAATAGGCCTTGCAGTAAGAGGCTCAGATACCTGCCAGAAGACGGCTTGTTTAGTTTAGTAGGCAAAGACTTAACAGGATCCAGTAGCTGGAAAGGTGAGACTTCACACGTTCAAACTGGACATTGGGTGCCCTTTGCATGAGTGAATGTAACCAACTGCTGAAGCCACCAGCCTTGAGATGTGCTAGATCACTAGAAATCTTTAAATTGGGGTAGGTTGTTTCTCTAAAATGTGTGCTCCAGATCAGCCATGGTGAGCATTGATACTAGGGTCACTCCTGCACTCAAAAGCCATGAACTGGTTTTAAAGTAACTTTCATCCCTCAACTTTGCAGAGCTCCCTAAGGGTAAATCTCTGTGTTCCAGTTTTATAGGCAGGAAAATAGAGGTGATAAAATGATTTGTCAGAGGTGAGAAAACCAGTTACTAGAAGAGTCAGGAGTCGATCCCATAGGAACCTGGGTCTCCCAGCTCCAAGTGATGGTGCCTATCCAATGCAACCAACACTCCTCCAATGTGTCGTGTCCTTTGGTCGATAATTCTTGCTAAAGGCTATTCTAGCTTTTATATGGCAATGGTGGGTTGATTTTGTTTTGTTTTTAAGGATTCAGTTATTCCAGCAGATTTTTAATGTTCCCTTAGTGTTTCTTGGCTAAGTGAGCGTAGTGAACAGAGTGCTGTCACTCATATTGGGCACTTGGTGCATTTGACTCATGCGCTTTAGGACGGGGTGGGCAAAGTCTGGCCCACAAGCCAGATCAGGCCCACAGCCGACTCCATTTCCCAGCAGCCCTGGCCCGTGTCGCTCTGGCTGGTTTCCATGGAAACCCCAGGAGTGGCGGGGCGGTGACAGTGTGGGTCCAGGGTCTCCGTGGAGACAGGCCCGAGGGGGGCTGACAGGATGTGCAACTGAGCAGGGTCCGGGATCTTGCAGTGATGACGGTGCAGGCCAGTGCTAGGGCAGAGCCATGATCTGCTGCCTGGACACCCCTGGGGCAGCGGATCATGGTTGTGCCCCAGCTCTGGCCATCGCCGCTGCAAGATCCCGGTCCCAGCCCCGGAGCCCTTCCCCACCCAGCCAGCGCTGCTTGGGCCGGTCTCCATGGTCCCACGCGGTAATGGCCCTGCCGCTTCTGGCATCTCTGTGGAGACCGGCCAGAGCAATGCAGGCAGGGGCTGCTGGGAAATGGAGCCTGGGCACTAGCCAGATCTGCCATTTTGCACACCCTGGTTTTAGAAAGTCCCTTGATCTCAACCTCTTAGTCTTGCTGAACATGATTGCAAGCATGCTGTGATGCTTGCATTATTTACTGTGCTATTCTGAAAGTGTCAAGCAAGTAGTTGCCCCCCTCCAAGACAGATCGGGCTCCTTCCCAAGTTGCTTCCAGTTGGGGGGCCCATCAAGCTGGTCTGCACTCCCTGGATCCCTGGGACACCAGCTGGGCTCCGTGCTGGTAAAAGGGCCCATCTACATAGGTCCGATTGCAAGGCTGGGTTCTCATCGACAGCGTAGAGACAGGCACGGTAGAGATCAAAGGGGAAAGCAAAAAGACTGCAACATATAGTGCACGATTCAATATGCATCGTTATTAGATCATTGATCTTTTTTTTTCCTTCCCGTGACTTTCATCTTTGATATGTTTTCAGGCCATTCTTCTACAGGCACCTGTCAATACTTTCAGGGTTTCCTGCATACAAATGTCTCGATCAATGCTTTCTTTCCGTGGAATTATTTATTTTCTCAACATTGAAGTCTTTTATTTCCCGTCTCTTACGTGAATATGAATAGTTTTGGAAGAAAATTCCAATACTAGTGTTTTGAAGTATGACATCTTAATATTTCTTTATTGGATTTCAGCTGCTGAAGGTCAAAAGCAGCCAGCCAGCATCTCAGATACAGAGGGAAAGATTGCCAGTTCTCACAGTGACATTGCATACGTCGCAACTCCATCCCTGCGGGGTCTCCACGAGAGGACATTACGATCATTAACAGACACCGGCAGCTCCACCTCTAGTGCTGAAATATCGAGCTCTTCAGATGGAACTGAGTCCTCATCTATAATGTCTGTCCTGCAAATTGGTAGAAATAATAGCTCACTGGATGCCATGGGTTTTACAGAGAATTCAACCGACCCTTTGCATAAGGGTTCGCTCACTGCTACAGAAAGTGTTTCTGCTGGTGAGCTGGCTTACTTCAGTAGTTTTTCTTTGTTTATTTAAAAAAATGATTTCCAATATTAAAAAAAAGATAGAAAATGTTTACTTTTTATTTTCAACTACAGAAAGAATAATATCCTGCTTTATTTACATTGGCCTACTTTCCCCTATTTTTCAAAACATTTCACAAAGAGGTGAATGTGATAAGTGCCATTATTAAGGATTGGCAAATATGGATGTGGACTTTTTGGGAGGGAACTATTTTGGCTTTTCACCCAATTAAAAATTCTGTTTTCAGATTTAGGGGGTTTTTTTAAACACGTAATTGAAGTTTGCCTCTTGTTTTCACAAAAATGTTCTTGTGGTCAAAAATCCCAATTTTCCAGTGAAAACCCATCTTGACTACATTTTGTTTTTTGACCCTCTCATCTCCGAATTTCTACTTTACAGAGTAGGGATTACAATAAAGTATGGAGAGATTCTCCCCCGCCCATACACACCAAGGCTGGGTTGTAAATACAGTGTTCCCAGTTCCTGCCCTGTGCTTACCCATAGGAATATGCTGCTTCCTATGAATTGAATCTGGTTATCAGTAACTCCCACTGAAGGTCATGCTGAATTGCTTATGTTCTGTTCTTGCTATGCCATGTTTGTGGGTCTTGATCAGTTATTCTGGAGGAGTCCAGTACCCTCTGATTCCGCTGCCTTTGAACTGCACAAGTTGTGTAATAAGTTATTCAGCGTGCTTATTCTGTGCAGTTGAATTCTTGTAGATGCCAGCAGCACGGACTGTGAAACAATGGGACTAAATGGCGAATCGAAGCAACTGCGGGGTTGTTATTTTTATTTACTTGCACTTTTTGTGCCTGTGTGTCACTTTTTTGCTAACCATAATTCCACGGGTTCTCGAATGTAAAAGATTCTTATCTTACTGGATTGACCTTCCACCCAAATCCCTGCCAGTGCTATCGTCCTCCGAGTGCTGTGTGCACTGTTATTATATTTCCAAATATAAAATTGAAATTGGTCTTTTTTCACATTTTAGCTAGTGGAAGCGGCCACCGAGCAGTCAGAACGTCAGCAACAGAAGAAAGGATTCCTGATTCTGGTGTCACCGGCACATCTGTTTCAGCAGCGTTCCCCAGAACAGAGGAGAGGATGTTTCCGTCTCCAACAAGCAGCAAGCAGCCTTCTCAATTAACACACAGCTCCAGCTCTGGTGCTCAACTGCGCAGCATGTCAGATGTAATCCAGTCCTCGTCTGCATCTCCTATAGCAGAAACTGATGGAATAAATATTTCACCAGATGCCACAAATTTCAGAGAGCCCTCAACAGATCCTTTGCTTACGGATTTTCACTCTTCTTCAGAAAGCGCATCCACAGGTGAGCGTATCACTCCACCAGCTTGCTGATTTATTATAAATATTTTTTTTTTTACAAAATTTCCCCACCGTCACTCTTCAAAGCTGGGATTTGAACATATGTGTCCCTTCCCATGTCCTAGACTGTGCACATGGGATCGGGTTGCTTCCCATGAATGGAGTTCAGCAGTTCCCACTTACGGCTATGCTGGACTTCTGTTGCTCTCGCAGATACCTGACGTAATGTTTGTGGTTCTTGATCAGCTGGGCCAGCGAAGGAATCCAATATCCACAGAGCTAATACCGCTGAGTCTTACACTTTTTAAGAAAGGTCTCTTATTCAGTCTTCCACCCACTCTCAATTTAATTCCAGGGATTTCTAAAGTCTTATGATTCCTGTGAGTGCCAACAGCAGCATGGATTGCAAAGCTCCCGAACTGAACGGGGAAGCTAAGCGTATCTTTTTTGTGATCTGTAATCCATATGTTCCCAAATATAATCAATTCATATCTTTCCAAATGAGCATTTTCCCCAGCCTGAAAAGTTCTTGTAACTGATATCCACACCAGCGCTGTCTGCTCGTGGTGTTACCGGGAGGAAACTCATCTGTTTATTTTTTTGCCTAAGGTATTGAAAATTTGTCTTTGTCTTATGTTAGCCAACAGAAGCAGTCACAAAACATCTAGCATGTCTGCACTGGAAAAAAGGAGGACTTCCTACTACGATACCACCAGTACGTACCTTTCTACTGCATTCACCGGCACTGGAGAAAGGACATTGCGATCTCTCTCGCACAGCAGCAAGCCTTTGTTTGCAACAGAAAGCTCCACCTCTAGTGCTGAAATGTCCAGTGCTTCAGGTGTAATCCAGCCTTCATCTGCTGCAGAAGAGACTCAGGGATTTAACATATCCTCTCAGGCCCCAAGTTTTGCAGAGCGTTCAACAGATTCCCATCCTCCTTCAGAGAGCGCTTCTCCAGGTGAGCATCTCAGCCCACCAGCTGCTTGTTTTATTAAAAAAAATGCTTTGTATACAAAATATATAACTTTGCTGGGTTTTTTTCAAATAAAGGAACACTAATATTATATTTTACACAAGCATGGCACTTTTCCGTAGGGTCACACCATTTCTCAGTAGTTGGAGGTATGGAAGGGCTTGTTAGAAAATGGGGTTAAAAGGGCAAAACTCTTCTTCTTTTTTTTAAGTGTTATCTAGTACGTATGTCTGCTTCAGCCAGGGTCTGATTGCAGCTCATGGGCATGTATACGAGCTCACTGTAAGCTGTCTAGGTGAGTTCTGTGCTGCTGTGGCTACGTTGTTATTTGATGCAGACCTGATGCACTTAATCAGTCTCAACCACGTGAAAACAAGCTACACGTATAACTTTGACTGCAACTTAGACATAACTTTAGTTAGAGTTTTGCCCAGAATTCCTACGAAAACTTTTCATTTGGGCAAAGCCCCGTTTTTCTACCAAAACCAGTTTTGACTGCAAAGTTTTTGACCATCTTTGGTTATGGTTTCTGACTCTAGTGCAGGGGTGGGCAAAATGCAGCCCGGGGGCTGAATGCGGCCCGCCAGGCCATTCTATCTAGCCCACGGGGCCCCTAAAAAAATTAGAAAATTAATATTTATCTGCCCCTCGCTGCCTATCATGTGGCCCTCAATGGCTTGCCAAAACTCAGTAAGTGACCCTCCGTCCAAAATAATTGCCCGCCCCTGCTCTAGTGTAACAACCTACGGGTGCCTATCCACGAGCAGGGAGGTTCCTTCGATGTGCTGTCATTCCAGTGCATCAGAGCAGGCTTGATTAACCGAGTCTGCTGGAGACTGGCAATTACTGCGCTCCTGCAGCCTCTTGTGTCTTGTGTATCAGCATCCCTGTGCTTCAAAAGGGTGGCAGGGCGTTGTATCTAAAACTCGCCAAACAAGCTTTAGATAAAGCACCCCCACTGCCGTTTTGAAGCACGGGGATGCTGATATACGAGATGCGGTGACGCTTTAATTACAGCAGCTCTTGGAGCTACTCTAATTAAAAGCACCTCCCCTCCACTCTCCGAGCATCTGTATAAACATCCCGTGGTACAAAAAAGAGTGCTGGTGAGCAGTTTCTGCACAGTCCCATAGCAAAGCTGGGATTTGAACTCAGGTTTGTTGAGTTCCTGCCCTGTGCTGTACTCTCTGCATTGTGGTGCTTCCCGTGAACTAAGTGTAGTCATCAGTAATTCATGCTTAATGCCCCATGAACTCATGTCCTTTGAGACACAGTATAAAATTTGTGGTTCTTGATCAGTTGTACAGATGCTCAGTATTCACTGACCTCAGAATCCTGAGTCACAAGTGGTTAAATATCTTGAGGTCATTTGGTATTGTATCCATACTATATTAGATTAAAAACATTTCTGAAGCTTGTAATGTTTAACTGCCAGCAGCATAGAGTGCACAGCCATGCAACTGAGCAGTAAAGTTAAACACCCAAGTCTTTGCATTTAATTTGCTTTCATTGTCACTTTTGGTGGCTTTATTCTTTTTTTTGCAAGCAATCCATTTTATGTGTTCCTGAATTATAAAATATTCAGGCTTTTTCTAAAATACTGTTCTTTCTCCAGCTTGAACTCCTTCTGTATCTAATACCCATATTTACACTGCCTGCATCTGGGCATTATTGGAAAGATACTCCTCCATCTGTTTATAATTTCATAAGCATAAAACCAGTTTTCCTTTATGATATTTCAGAAAGTGAAAGCAGCCAGCAACCAACTAACATTTCAGTGCTGGAGCAAAGGACTTCTGATCCTCGTGCCACCAGCATGGTTATTTCAACAGCATTCACCAGAGCTGGGGAGAAGATAGTGCAATCTCTAACAAACAGCAGTCTGTCCCCCAGTGCAGCACAAAGCTCTGCTTCTAGCACTGACATACCCAGCTCTGCAGATGTCACTCAGACCTCCTCTATATCTGCTAGAGCAGAGACTAATAAAGGAAAAGTTACATTGGGAGTCACATATTTCACCGGGTCCTCAGCAGATCCCATGCCAACGCATTTTCACTCTGATTCACAAGCTGCTTCTGCAGGTTAGTTGGTCAATCCATGTGCTTGTCATTTTACAAGTTTTGTAGATTGTTTTTAAATCATTCTCATACGACATGCATACTTTTTCAAATAAAGGAAGACTAATATTGTATTTTATACTTACGTTGCACTTTTTCACAGCCCTGTAAGTACAGGCATTGTATTCTATTAGAGCACATTGAAGGTGGTTTCTATGTCAAACAGTTTCCATTTTTGAGCTAGCAGTAATTTGGGGTGCATGTGTGTCTTTGTGTTTGGATGCACGGGCCCATGTGTGTATTTTCCATTAAAAGACAGACGGACCTACACACGCACAAACACACACATGAGCATGCAGGATTTACCATTTTTTAAATTAACATATTTGATATCGAATATATGTGTATTTTAAGACTCCTACAAGCAATATCTGCACCTGGGAGTTTTGGGAAGATGAATCGATTTGACTTTAATTATATGGCATTATAAATGTTCTTCATCATGTTTCAGCGACTGGAAGCAGCCATCAATTAATTAACATCTCAAGTACAGAGAAAAGGTCTCCTGGGTCTCATACCACTAGCACATACATTTCAGCAGCCTCCACAAATGGGGGAGATAGGATGTTACGATCTGTAACGGAGAGCAGCAGATCTGATGCAACACAAAACTCCCCCTTTGGTGCTGAATTATCCAGCGCTGCAGATGTGACCCAGTCCTCATCTATGTCTTCTACAGCCCAGACTACAGGAATGAAGAATGCCTCATTCAATGCTACAGATCCCCCCCTGCTTACAGATTTCAGCCTTGCTTCAGAAAATGTTTCCACAGGTGAGAAGTTGAGACCATGTCTGTTGTTTTCCAGTGCTTTAAAGATTATTTAAAACATTCTTATACCAACTGCTCATTTTTATTTTTTTAAAAAGGGGGAAATATCGTGTGTTCTGGTTATGTAGCACTTTCCTTTACATTTCAAAACATTTCCCAGCCATGCAAAGATTTTCAGTGGAAAATTTCAAGGCTGAAAACTTCTTGATGCGTTGTTCTCAGCGGTTAGTTGCAATTTTTTACAGGAAAAAGATGCAAATTGTGAATCTAGAAATTGTGTTTGTAGTACTTGGATATCGATTTTTGGAAGAGTCCAATATCAGTTGGTGGATGTTTCTAAATTATTCAGCTTAGCAATTCTGCTGAATATAATTCCAAGCCTTTTTATAGGTATATCATTTTTTGTGTGCGGCAGCATGGAGTGCAGAGGGCGAAGTTGAACATACAGCTTCTTGGTTCCACACATTTATTTTTCATGGCTTTTTCTCTCTTTTTTTGTGAGTTTTTAATTACAAGTGTACCTGCATGACAAGGGTTATGTCTTAGCAAATTTGCCTTTTCTCCAGGCTGAAAACTTCCCATGGTTTATATTTGTGGGTACTGGGCATTACTGGGAGTAAACTCATCCATCTGTTCATAATTTCCCCATGCATAAAGCAGTTTTCCTTATTCTCTTTTAGTCTTTGGAAGCAGCCACCAGGCAATTAGTATTTCAGATACAGAAACAAGGACTTCTGATTCTCCTATCACCAGGTCAGCAACAATCACAAGAGATGTGGAATGGAGTTTGTCTCTAACGAACACCAGCACACCTTCTGATGCAAGAGGAAGCTTTGTGTCTAGTACTGAAATGTTAGGCTCTTCAGAGCTGATGCAGTCTTCATCTATATCTTCTGTAACAGAGGCCCATGAAACTAATAGTCCATTACGTGCCACAGATTTCACAGACCTTTCATTGGATCCTTTGCTTACACATTCCCTCTCCACTCCAGAAAATACTTCAAGAGGTGAGCTGCTTTTTAATAGGTTTTAAAATGATTTTGAAAGCTCTTCGTAAACCAAATATTTTATTTTAAGTAAAGGACGACTATGATTATATTTTGCACCTCTGCAGTACTTGTTCCGTCGATCTTGAAATGTATTACAACTACATAAGCCTGGTAAGTCTTGCTGTTAGAGACTGTTGGAGTGTGGTGCTAGTTTTTCTTCCCCTGGAATATTTCCATTTTTCAATGAAAAAAAATAGTATATTGATGTTTTGTTTTTAAACATTGAGCATAACCTTTCTAGATAAATTTTCCTGAATGTATTGAATGTTCATTTAGTCGCACAATATTGTTTGACTAAAAGTTTTCAGCCCTCTGCTCATTCTCACGGTTTTATAGGTGAAGGCCATACAATACCATAGAGACTGATTAAGTGATTTTTCCAAATGTCATACAGCAAAGCTGGGCTTGGATTATTTGCAAGCAAGCTAAGGAATTACAGGGATGGATGAATGGACTATAAGGTGGATCAAAAACCGACTGGATCCTTGGGCTCAAAGGGTAGTAGTCTGTGACTCAATGTCCAGTTAGAAGCTGGTATTGAGTGGATGCCCCAAGAGTCAGTCTTGGAGTCAGTCTTTATCAGCGACCTGGAAGATGGGATGGAGTGCACCCTGAGTTAGTTTGCAGATTATAGCAAGCTGGGCAGAGTAGTAAATAGGATGGAGGGCAGGGCTAGGATTCAGAGAGACCTTGACAGATTGAAGGATTAGACCAAAAGGTTAACGGCTTACTGGGCTGCATTAGTAAGAGTGTTGCCAGCAGATCGAGGGAGGTGATTCTTTCCCTGTGTTCTGCACTGGTGAGGCCACATCTGGAGTCATGTCCGGTTTTGGGCCCCCCAGTACAGAAATGACGTAGACAAAATGGAGAGAGTCCAGCAGAGGGCAATTAATATGATTAGGGAGGGTAGGGCACATGCCTTATGAGGAGAGGCTGAGGGAGCTGGGCTTATTTAGTCTGGAGAAGAGAAGATCAAGGGGGGATTTAATAGCAAACTTCAACTCCCTGCAGGGGGGCTCCAGAGAGGATGGAAACTGGACTGTTCTCAGTGGTGACAGATGACAGAACAAGGAGTAATGGGCTCAAGTTGCAGCAAGGGAAGTTTGGGTTGAATATTAGGAAAAACTGTCTCACCAGGAGGGCAGTAAAGCACTGGAACAAGTTACCCAGAGAGGTGGTAGAAGCTCCATCCTTGGAGGTTTTTAAGACCCAGCTAGACAGAGCTTGGGCTGGGACAATCTAGTTGGAGACGGTCCTGCTTTGAGCAGAGGGTTGGACTAGACGTAACCTCCTGAGGTCCCTTCTAACCCTCATTTTCTATAATTCTGTTCTTTTGAGTTCCTGGCTTATGCTGTAGCCACTACCATCAAATTAAATACTATATTGAATTGGTTGTATTTTCTGAAGTATTTAATATGATGGCTATTGCTGTTCTGTACTGGAAAAGGAATTCAGTCTTCAGTGATCCCATATATTTTTAATCTGTCTCCCTTACATAGTATGCTACCCCTCTGAAATCAAGTCCAGTCATTTCTATAGTTTGAATAACAGATGTAGGGACCAGTAATATGGAGAGCAAAACCAGGGGACTGAATGGTGAAGTTAAGCATATAGCTCATTGATTCCACAGCTTGTTTTTCTTGCATTTCTCATGTCTTATGCCACTTCTTTGCAAGAATTCCATCTATTCCACAATATCACTATTTCCAGATTGAAAACTTCTTAATGTTAATATCCCTATTCATAATGTCTGCATCTGGGTGGTATTGAAGGAAAACTCATCCATCTGTCTATAAGCTCATATGCATAAAATTGTTTTTCCTTGTTATGTTTCAGCCGCTGGAAGCAGCCATCAATCAATTGGTGTCTCAGCTACTGAAGAAGGCACTTCTGGAGTTTCCACCACCAGTTTTTACATTTCAACAACCTCCAACAGAGGTGAAGAAACATTAAGGCCTCTAACCAACAGGAGCACTTTGACTGATACAATGGAAAGTCCCAGTTCTACTTCAGCAAATACTGACTTGACAGATCTAAGCCCGTCTTCGTCTTCCTTAGCACAGTCTAAGGGAAGCAGTGTCCCATCAGGGGAGGAGGACTTCAACCAGCTTTCAACCAAGACTTTGCTCACACATCCTTCCAAGATCCCGAGTTATTCATCTTCATCAGCTAATCTTTCAGGTGGGCTTTGTCACTCCTGGCGTGTTACTGCACATTATAAAAAGAAAAAATCAGCCTCCCTTCCAAAAAGCTGAGTCAGTCCTTTTATTAAAGAATAAATTCCCCTTTAATAACTTAGACTCCTTCCTGTGAGATGTAATCACATGACCCTCATTGCCATCATATCCACACATCTCACAATCTTTAATGTGCTTGTCTTTGCAACTCCCCTGTGGAGTAGGAAAGTGCTGTTTTCCTTGTTTACCCGTGGGGAATTTAGGCCCAAGTAATGTATGTCAGGCCACCAGGGAAGTCTGTGGCAGGACTTGAACCTTGGATCTCCGACATGGCAAGCTGGTGCCCTAACTGCTGGACTCCTGTTTCCATTCTGCGTGGCCCTGAAGGTTTTAATCACAGGCTCTTTTATTCTTCCGCTACATAGTGCCACCAGCATCTGCTTTCATTACACATGTCCTGATAGGTAGTAGCTTCTTTTGGTGAATGGTTCCCAGAGTAAAGCATTGCTTGGCATGAATAAGAGGGGAGACTGAGGCCGTCAGTGATTCTTCACCAGCTAGCAGGATTGGATGAGGCATGCAATCCTGGTGGTTAACATCTACACTGTACCTGTAAAGATATCTATTGGCTTTGAACTCTAGTTCCCAAGTTGACTAGTTGTAATTACAAACTTCCCTTTAGTGTCACCATTCTCATGCTTGTTGAGCTGCTTTTTAGAGAAAGCTGCCAATACCTCTAAGGGTTCTTGAGTTAAAAAGCTCAACATCTCTCCCACGGGGAGCTTTGCTTGCATGTGGGCAAGGGAGACTGCCAGGAAGAAAAGTTCAACTTCCTGAGTTCTCACGGTGAATTTGTATTGGGCCTGGCATGGTAGCAGAAGGTAGAATAGCTTTAGGGCTGCTCTAACGTGCGTCTCCTTGTAGGAATTTTCATTCTCTTGGGAACAGATGCAGTTCAGACATTCGCTGCCACCTCCCTAGCCTAATATGGCTCCAGTGATCTACCTTCTCGGTTATGAGTGAGACAACTAGCACAGAAGTTCACTAAGTGTGCTGACTGCTTCGCTATGCCAGGACAATTTTCTCTGGGGCCAGGTTCCATCACTGCCCCTTTTTTCCTCCTCTGGAATAATCATAAAAATTTAAGCCACATGTTTCAATAGGTTGTATAATACATAGGTCAGTGCATGAGGGTGATTGTTAACATACCTACTGTTCCAGATGTGCATATGGATTTTTTTCAGCCATCAGAACCCATTCAATAATATGTATGTGTAATATACAGTTTCAGATGGAGGAAGAAAGATTTCCAGTTCCCCTACTGAGAGTACATACATCTCAACCACATTCAGCAGAGGTGTGGAAAGGACATCCCAGTCTGGAACTACCAGCAGCATAGCCACAGAGACAACAGAGACTTCTGCTACTGATACGGATACGGCCAAGTATTCAGATTCAACCCAAATCTCACCTTCAGAAGTGCTGACTGAAGGAAGGAATTCTTCATCAAGGGATGATGCACGTTTCACTGAGCCTTCAACTAAGTCTTTGCGTCCATATTTTTCCAAGGCCTCAACTTATTCCTCTGAAGCTGAGGATCCCTCCAGTGAGTTTCCTGAACTCAGCAATCGCATTTTGATCAGGGGAACATTCTCTCCCTCTTCCCCATTGTGGATCTGTTTTGACCAGCAAATTCAAAGCTAGTGCATTTGCCAGCAATGGTATTAATGAGTCCTAATGCAGTAATCCCCAGTGCATGGGCTCCAGACTGTCTCATATTGCAGAGGGCCACAAGAAATTTTGCTTTTGCCACATGCATATTTGTTCAGGTTGACAGGGAGAGCAAAGTTGGATGTTGCCTGCAGCATGCTGCTCACTCAATAGAATTGTCTGTGGGCCAGCAAAGTTTGGGAACTTGACTGCTGCTGAAACAGGTCTGTTCTTTCATATCACATATGCAGCGGTTGGTATGGACTAGAAAGCTAGCAAAGCAGAAGAGTAGATGGTATCTTTTTACTGTAGGAAAATGTTTATCTCCCCATAGCTTTGGCTTATACTTTAATAATTGTAAAGCAACATTACAACGTTAATGACACTCATTGTGTCTATACGTTTCACCTTTAGAGGAACCTGCTGAGGAATGTCCTGATCAATGGACACTTATGGCATTTTTACACATGCTTCAGGGGCAGGCAGGGTGGCGCTTTAATTAGTGCAGCTCAGAGCCACTCTTACTAAAGCGCCTGCAGCGTCTTGTGTGTCAGCATCCCCGTGCTTCAAAGTGGTGGTGGGGGTGCTTTAAAGCTCATTGAACGAGCTTTAGGTAAAGCACCCCCCACAATTTTGAAGTGCGGGGATGCTAATACACAAGGCATGGAAGCTGCAGGAGCGTGCTGATCAGATAATTAGATTAATTGAGTCTTCTCTGACATGCTGTATTTACAGCATGTCAGAGCACCCCCTCCATGTCCCCCCCGCACATCTACAGGAACTCTTAAATAGATAGAGTTGCATGTGGGATTTAGTCTGGCCTTATTTTTTCAGCTGAAAACTGGTGCAGAACTCTTAAATGCCATTTGATCTGGAACTAAAAACAATAATTTCTACTTTTTCATCCCATTTCAGCAACTGGAAGAAGCCATCAGTCACTTGGCAGCTCAAGTACAGAAGAAAGGATTTCCCGTCCTTATACTGACAGCACGTATGCTTCTGCTACATTATCCAAAAGTGAAGAAAGGACATCACAATCTCTTACAAATGGCACATCTACCCATACAACAGAGCGCCCCACTTCCTATACAAAAATTGCCAATTCCTCAGAATTATTTCATTCGTTTTCAGAGGTACAGACCAAAGAGATGAATGTTTCAGCAGATGACATGAGTTTAACTGGGCTTTCCACGGAGACCTTGTTTACACATTCTTCCAAGATACCAACTTATTCTTCTTTCCAGAACGTTGCTTCAAGTAAGCTTTTGTATATACATTTCCTTGTGAAGGAGGAAAATATTTTCATGGGCATTGCTTTAAGTTAGTGTGTGCAAAACAAAATAATGCCATATAAAGGAATTCCTTTATATGGCATTATTTTGTTTTGCACACACTAACTTAAAGCAATGCCCATGAAAATATTTTCTTCCTATGAAGGCCTGAAGATTTTTCTAAACCAAAGCAGGTCAGTCCCTGAAGATTGGTATTATTTAATTTGGAACAGAGGAAGAGAGTATACCTTAAGTATATCTTAAGTATACCACACTCTTACGGGATAAATTATGAATCGGGAAAAGGACAAATGGGTTTACCTGTTCAGCTTCCATAAAATGCAAGAAAAGTGAACCCAGTGATCACGTTATATTAAAAGGCAATACGTTTTATTAGGACACAGTTACTATGTGGGACTCAGTGCTGCAAGAGTTTGATATTAAAACTTTAGAAAGTGATAAAAAATGACAACTTGACTGTCACCCCATACATGCACCCTTTGCAAAATGTATTGCATGCTAACACCTAGAGTTTACTGGCAGATCACCACCGTATGAATTGGTGTCGTAGATGGACTCATATGCAGACTGGTAATTTTTATGAATCAGACTCATTATTTGAATAAAATGGCAATATTGTTTGATATAGATCACCACCATTTTAATTAATCTTTATTTTTAATTCTAGGTATTGCAAGTAGCCATCAGCCTATCAGTGGCACTGACACAGAAAAACGGACCTCCGCTTCTCAAACGGACAGCATGTACAGTTCAACCACATTCAGCAGAGGCGGGGAAAGGACGTTATTATCTATATCAAGTAACAGCACTTCTACAGACTCATCAGAAAGTTCCACTTTTTTTACAGAATCTTCCAACTCTTCCAGTATATCCCAGGCCTCATCTGTGTCACAGAGTAGAGAAAATAATGTATCATCAAGTGATGGGACCGTCACGGAGCCCTCTACTGAACCTTTACTCGTTTATTCTTCTAAAATTCCAACTTACTCTTCAACAAGCAGGATACAAAATACAACTCTGTCTTATACTGGCTCTGAATCAGCACCAACTGGCAGCTCATCATTATCTTCATCAGGGTTTCAGTCTTCTGCCTCAGTGTCTTCATTCTATCGATCACCTTCATCAACACCAGCACCCCCTCCTTTGTTCACAACATCACAATCGTCTCTACCACCAACTTTGTCAGTCTTGCCATCAACATCGCCTCCGCCTCTCCCTTTATCATCTTTACCTACTTCCTCACCAGTCACAGCATCATCATCATTCTCATTCTCATCACCTTCATTCTCTTCACAATCTTCATCAGTACACTCCAATGACAGCTCTCAAACCAGTGCGTCCACGGTTACAACAGGAGCGACAGATGGGAGGGAGCCGTCCACGGCTGTGTTTTCTGGGAGTTTGCCCGGAGAATACGACAATCACAGTAGCACATACCCGTTGAAGGAAAGCACTGGCTTCAGCTCCACAGAATTGCCTCTTTTTCCAACTACATCCACGGAGCACCTTGCTAAACATTCAGCATTCATGCCAACTTCTTCGCTTATGACAGAGAGCACCGCGGGGGCAGCCACTGTTGCCACAGGGGACAGCATTGAAAAGACACCTTCGGTTTTGACAACCGTGAGTCTGAGCATGGGTACGGAGATGACAAACGAATCAACCACTACCTTGCCAAGTCCAACAAGTCGGGAGGAAGACTTCGCCGTCGTGGAATTAACAACAGAGAAATCCAGCACTGTGACAGCACGTGCAACTCTTGGGCTGACTACGGGTCATTCTGCTACTACAGAAGTCCCGAGAGTTCAAACTGTTGCACCCACAAAGTTGGCCTCCATCACTGGAATAACTACAGAAGTGATGGAAGCTAGCACCACAGCTAGTATTAAACTCACCAAAGAAAGTATCCCGGCTACTCATTTTTCTGCAACAACTTCCATTAGCAAAACCACTGCTGGGTTTCCTAGTTCTTTGACAGCTACTACCAAGCCAGCTATTGTTGCTTTAACTACCACCACAGTGACATCTTCTCATACAACAGGTAAAGCATCTAAAGTGCTACACAGAAACCTGTCATGTAGAATAAATATTTGCATCAAATGCAGCCCTGATACCAGTACCAGTGCCTGGTTGGGTGCCTAATTCCCTTTTCAGACCTGGGCCTTAGTTTTAATCACCTGGATTTTTAAGCATTGGATACAAAAGGCGAGGATTTAATAGTAGTCTTCTTATGCAGAGCTGCTTGAAAAAATGCTGAAAGTTTTGGTGGAAATGTAGCAAAAGCTTTAGTGACAACATTCAGCTGAAATTGTGAAAATGCAAAACAGTTCTCTTTATTAATTGAGAATCAGTGTTTTTTTAACTTCTCTTTACAAATAGAAATAGTCCACATTTTCTTGCATACCACCTGCGCCCAAGTAGGACATACATTTGGGAAGACAGAATGAAGAAATAAAAATCTTTTCCACGTGGAGCAGGGACCAGAGCCTACTCTTCAGCTCAGTTGTCCTCCTTTTCCTGCTCACGCAAAAAGAGAAATATTACAGTTTTGACCTTTTCACAGCTGCTGTCAAATTGGCTAATCTGCCAGAAACTACTGCCAGTTCACAAGTGGCTGTCAAAAGGGTTAAAACTGTAACAGCTGCTTCTCCTCCTTCCATGCCACCAGCTGTGGTGGGGAGGGAGTGAAAGAAGCAGAAGCCGTTACGGGGGCTGTTCAGACAGAAAAACAGTTTCACTCTAGAAGACATGCTTCCCAGTTTTGGAGGGCTATGTTTTTGGGGAGAAGTATGTGTGGTATGTGAGTAAATATGCTATGTTTGTCCATGAGAAAAGACAGTTGGTTAGCCATTGGTATGCAAGTTGAAGTGTGTCCTGATGTTAGACCTATGATCACTTTCTATCTTGCTAAATAATCTCTCTTTAAAGAGCTGCCACTTCTTGTTAGCTAGGTTTAGGCCACATACCTTATCTTTGCTGTCTACACCTACAACCAGTGGGAAAAGTTTAGGCAAAATTTCTGCATTGATTGTCATTGCTTATCGTTCCAGAACATGGAATAATGAATGGTATTAGAAGTGGGAATAGTGTAACTTTGGCAATAAATTTGCCTCATAAAACCCGAATGCATCATTTGGCCAAAGCAGGCATCTTCACACTTTGCTAAAGGAAAGGTCTTTCTAGGAATGAGCTTGGAGCAGTTACTCATCCTTGCGGGGTTGAGGAAAAGTAGCTGGGGCTAAGTGTGCAGTGCACTAGAAGGAGGATGTGAAGGTGTTAGTATAACAAAAAGACTGCAGGATGAATGATTTAATTTCCCCCTGTTGTCAATCTCCTCATCTTCACAAGTAAGTCTGTTCAGTCAAGTATTTTACCAGAATGGAAACGTAATCCATAATTCAAGTCAAAGGTACTGAGCAAAGCACTACAAGGTGTAGCATTTACTAATTTCATTAGTCCCGTTCATGGCAGCGGATTGCTTTCATCAGCACCACGAAGAGTAGTAAGTATTGATGAAGCTGGTCATCCAGTTTTAAAGCTTTTAAAGGCTTTAAAAAGGGAGGGGAAGCTGGTGTTACGCTCTAGCTTTTACATCCTCTAGTGATACAGGTTAGATAAATCACCTTAACTTTGACACAGGGAGCCTACAGATGTTCAGGGCCCCATTCCAACTCGTAGTGCTGAGTTACAGCCCTTCCCCCTCGGATGTTTGCCTGTTGAGTCTGGGGTGTGGAGGGGGGCTGGAGCCAGCCTACACAGCCCTGGTCAGCAGGCGGGGTGCTGCAAGGAAGCTGCCAAATTGTCCAGTT